TTTTGCAGCTATTGTGAAAGGGAGTGTTCCATGTGCTCTTTCTCTGATTGCTTGTTATTGGTATATAGAAAGGCTACAGACTTTTGTAGATTAATTTTGTAACCTGCCACTTTTCTGAATGTGATAATTTCTAGGAGTTTTCTAGTGGAATTTTTGACATCTCTTAGATATAATATCATATCATCTGCAAAAAGGAGTAATTTGGTCTCTTCTTTTCCAATGATTACTACTTTATTTTTCTGCTCTTGTCTTATTGCTCTTGCAAGAGTTTCAAGCACTCTGTTAAAGAGAAGTGGACGTTGCGGTATGTCCCTTCCAGTCCAATTCCTCTAGGACTTTGAACATAAATGCATATTGAATTTTGTCAAAGGCCTTCTCTGCATCTATTGAGATGACCATGTGGTTCTTGCCTTTGAGCCCATTTATATGATTTATAACGTTTATTGACTTACATATTTTGAACCACCCTGCATCTCTAGGATAAAGCTGACTTGATCATGGTGGATGATCTTTTTGATGTGTGTCTGTATGCAGTTTGCAAGTATCTTTTTGAGAAGTTTTGCATCTATGTTCATTAAGGATATGAGCCTATAGTTTTCTTTTTTGGTTGTATATTCACCTGGCTTTGGTATTAGAGTGATGCTGGCTTCATAGACGGAATTTGGAAGTTCTCCCTCCATTTCTATCTTTTTGAATAAATTAAGTAGTATTGGATGCAGATCTTTAAATGTCTGATAGAATTCTGCTGTAAATCCATCTGGTCCTGGACTTTTTTTAGTCGGGAGGTTTTGTATTACAGTTTCAATTTCCTTATGTGTTATGGGTTTGTTTAAGCTGTCGATCTCTTCTTGGTTTAGTTTTGGTGGTTCCCATGCTTTTAGATACCTGTCCATTTCTTTTAGGTTTTCAAATTTAGTAGCATATAGGGTTTTTTTTGTTTTTTGTTTTTTGTTTTTGGTCTTTTTGAGACAGTGTCTCCCTGTAGCCCCAGCTGTCCTGGAACTTACTATGTAGCCAGGCTGGCCTTGAACTCACAGAGATCCACCTGCTTCTGCCTCCCGAGTGCTGGGATTAAAGGTGTGCACCACCACGCCTGGCAGCTTATAGGTTTTTAAAGTATTCCCTTATAATGTTCTTGATCTTTTTGGGGTCTGTTGTGATGTTTCCCCTTTCATCTCTGATTTTGTTGATTTGGAGGTGCTCTTTCTTTCTTTTTGGTTAACTGGGCTAGCAGTCTATCAATCTTGTTTATCTTTTCAAAGAACCAGCTCTTGGATATATTAATTCTTTATTGTTTTCTTTGTTTCTATTTCATTAATTTCTGCTCTGGCTTTTGTTATTTCTTCTTGTCTGCTGGGTTTGGGTTTCATTTGTTGTTCCTTTTCAAGTGTCTTGAGTTGCAATGTTAAGTCATTTATTTGTGTTCTTTCCGATTTTTTTTTTTTTTGGGTCTTTTTGAGACAGGGTCTCCCTGTAGCCCCAGCTGTCCTGGAACTCATTCTGTGGACCAGGCTGGCCTTGAACTCACAGAGATCCACCTGCCTCTGCCTCCCGAGTGCTGGGATTAAAGGCGTGTGCTATCATACCCAGCTCTTTCCAATTTTTTAATGTAGGCACTTAGAGCTATAAACTTACCTCTAAGGATTGCTTTCAACGTGTCTCAGAGGTTTTGTTGAGTTGTATTGTCCTTTTCATTTAGTTCCAGGAATACTTTTATTTCTTTCTTAATTTCTCCTTTGACCCATTCATCATTCAGGAGTGTGTTGTTTAATCTCCATGTGTTCGTGTGGTTACTAGGGTTTCTTCTGGTGTTGATTTTAAGCTTTATTGCATTGTGGTCTGATAGAATGCATGGAATTATTTCAATCTTTTTGTATTTGTTGAGGTTTGTTTTGTGCCCCAGTATACAGTCTGTTTTGGAGAAGGTTCAATGGGGTGCTGAATAGAAAGTATATTCTTTGGTGCTTGGGTGGAATATTCAGTAGATGTCTGTTAGGTCCATTTGATATATGGTATTGTTTAATTCATATGTCTCTCTGTTAATTCTCTTTCCTGTTGACCTATCTAATGGAGACAATGGGGTACTGAAGTCCCCTGATATTAATGAGTTGGGATTAATCTGGGTCCTAAAGTCCTGTAGTACTGTTTTTATGAAGTTGGGTGCACCAGAGTTTGGTGAGTATATGTTCATGATTGCCATATCTTCTTGGTTTATTGTTCCTTTGATCAGAATGAAGTGGCCCTCTTTATCTCTTCTGTTTAGTTTTAAAGTCTATTTTATCAGATGTTAGAATTGCAACGCCTGCTTTTTTCTTAGTACCATTCTCTCAGTATTTTTTTTTTCCATCCTTTCACCTTAAAGTAGTGCCTGTCCTTGAAAGTGAGATGAGTTTCTTGCAGACAACAAAAAGATGGGTTTTGTTTCTTAATCCATTCACCTAGTCTGTGTCTTTTGCCTGGGGAGTTCAGTCCATTGATATTTAAAGTTATACAATTCCTGCATATTCCATCCATTCTTGTGATTTCTTAAATTTTTCATAATCTTTGCTTGAGTGGCCTAGTTTGTCTACTTTATCTGCCAGTCTTGATACTCTGTTTTCCATTTCATTCATCTTGTTGGTGAGGTTTTCTCCTGTCATTTCTAATTGGCTTACTGAGTGTTTCACTTCCTTCTTCATTTCAGGTTGAGCATTCTTCAGTATTTCTAACTCTTTTCTGAATTCATTCAGAAGTTTATCCCTATCTTCCTTCAGTTCTTTGATTTCTTTGTTTGTGTGTTCTTTAAATTTACTGAATTCTTTTATCATGTTTATAATTGTTCTTTTGAGATATGTGTCCTGGATTATCTCTAGGAGGTTCTCACTGTACTCTGCTAGAGGACTATTGGTACTTGGTAGGGACATATTATTTTGGTTTTTCATGTTATTATTTTTTTCTCTGTGACTTTGACATGTGAATTTCTTTCGTAGTTTCTGATTCTTGTGTTAGACTCAAGCTGAGATTTTGATGGCTATTTCTTTAAATCTGTTTGAGGAGAATTAGCACCTTTGCTTTTTGAGACTTTGTTGTCAATAATGTTTTATAATTTTCTTTCTTTTTTTAACGTTTATCGTGTGTGTGTGTGTGTGTGTGTGTGTGTGTGTGTGTGTGTGTGTGTATCCATACATGTTTGTGAGCTTATCATGGCATGCAGATTGAGGTCTGAGGACAATTCTGGGTATCAATCTCAGGTTGTCAGCCTTGGCAGCAATTGCCTTTACCCACTGAGCCATTTTGCTGGCCCCTATTTTATGATTTTCTATTGGGTGACTTTTCGTGTTTCTTCTGAGACTTAAGTCTTATGTATTTAAATAATATCACATCTTTATACTGTCTATTATGTAAAAACTAAATGATGTTTTTATGTTGATAAATCTGGAAGCCTTACTGAATTCAATCATAAAAGATGCATGAAGTACATAGTCATGGTATCCACAAGTAACAGTTGTAGTTCCAGTCCTTTTATCTCTTTTATCTTTTATTTCTGACCGAGATATTTCATTAGATGTTGAAGGCAAATGTCCCAGCTTTCTTCTGCTATCAGGAATAGGGCTTCAGTGTCTAGAATTAACTATGATATTTCACATTTGGTTTTAAATAATACCCTTCCTCATATTAAGGAAATTTGTTTCCTTTCGTTCTTCATATAAGAAGGACTTTAAAAAGCTGTTAAAATCACTTTAAAATTATGATTATTTTCATTTGTTGAGATTTTTATCTTTATTCTGTTGACATATCAAATTATGTTGATTTTCTGTCACAGTTTGTATTCTTGGTGTAAAACTGACTTGGTCACAATGCATTATTCGTGACAATAGCTGGATTCAGTTGGGAAATTTATGTGTTATTAACATCCTGAACTGACTTTTTCACATTGGCTAAAACTGTGTTTGGAGTTTTTTTTCTCATTGATTTCTCAGGACCCACAGTTCTCATATGTCAGTATAATAACTAGTTTCATATTATTTACAATGAAATGTAAGCATTCACTCAGGGAACGTGGCTGCCAAGCTGCATGTGGTTGAGCCACAGGAATTTGAAGAGTCAAGTTTGTATTTACGTTTCATCTTTGATATACTGCATAGGGTGAAGCTGAAGCTGCTATAGGTGTTGGGAGTAGACTTGGAGATTTCTACCCATTATCACTGCTCTCTCCCCCATTCCCCAGATATATCCCACCCCCTTCACTTCTCCTCAATTGTTTCCTGTCTTCAGTCAAGTATTTTATAGTTGAGAACTCATTAAAGTTGGTTGCCGGGCCCAGCAGCTGCTTGCCATGAGGGATAGTGTGGTCCTATGAGGAGGTCCATTCCAACAGCCAGGCTCTCCCAAGTAAACCATGGAGAGGACAGTACAACCCATCTCATGAATATATGCCATTCAGATGATGTAATTTTTGAGTGTTTAAAATTGTGAGAATGCTTTCATAGTACAATATTAATTGGAGGTATGAGCATATTCCTTGAAAATTACACATACAGTATATGCGTGTGTATATGTACACATGAATATATATCATGTGACTTTTCTGCTGACTTTTCTATATTATAAATTTTTGTTAGCTGGCTGTGGTGGTCACATGCGTCTTTAATCCCAGCACTTGAGAGGCAAAGGCAGGCACATCTCTGTGAGGTCAAGGTCAGTCTGGTCTACATAGAGAGAGTTCCAGGCCAGCTGGGGCTATAGAGAAACCTTATGTTTAAAAAAAACAAAACAAAACAAAAAACAAAAAAAAATTTGTGTGTGATAAAAGTCTGCCTTATTTGTATAAAGAAAAATAAATTTGTTTTTCTTTTGAGAGAAAACTGTGGTGTCATGGTAATATTGTGCCAAATAGTTAACAGTTAGAAACTAAGTCCACTAATAGGGAAGTAGTATATTATAGGATATGTGATTGGTACATTAAAATACTACTAGTTTCTTAAAACTTAATATCGCTTAATATTCTTTTTTTATTTTAGGCAAACTTTGGAGTCGGAGTTTAAAACTAGCTTATACTCTACTTAATAAGCTGACCAGTAAGAATGACCCACTACTTAAACCTGGAGACAGAGTAAGTAGCTAGGCTATAACTTTGAATGAGTCAAAACAGAGACTTAAAAATATTTTATTGAAAACTATATTCTAATAATTGTTTAAAATTATAGTATTAACACAGGAGATTTAAAGCTAGCAATGAAAAACTAACGTGGAAACGTTTTGATACAGAATTAAGTGACCATTCTTCTCATTCTTCCTCTGATTTTCCAGCTTTTTTCCTATTTGGCTTCATGTATGTTGATGTTAATAAATACTAAATTTTCAAAGCTTCTATTTTATTATTTAACATTGTTCTGACTTTGAAATTTGATGTGCTTTATACTTTTCTCTTTCCCTATCCTGTGTGGCTAGGCAGCTTCTTTTTGCTTCCGTCCACGTAGAAAACAAAGAGGAGTAGAAACTTATTCTCTCATCCCACACTGCCCTGAGTGATAGGCAGTAGTCTTATGGGACTATTTAAATGAACCAAAATTAGATAAAATTAAAACTGCAAGTTAGGTGTAGTGTCACATACCTGTAGTCCCAAAGGAAATTGCAAAAGCAAAAAGATTACCACAAATTTGAAGCCAGCCTGGAACCTGATCTACATGGTAAGTTCCAGATCAGCCAGGGTTACAGAGTGAGACCCTGTCCCCAAAACAAAACCAAACAAAACACCAGAAAAGATAATTCCTCAGCTACAAGAACCACATACTAAGGACTCAACAGCTAGGTATATATGCTAATAGCTGCTGTGAGGATAACTGGGGATAGTGTTGGCTGCTCTTGTAGAGGGCCTGGGTTTGGTTCCCCACCCATATGGCAGCTAATAATTGTCCATAACTCCAGTTCCAGGGGGATCTAACACCCTCTTCTGACCTCCACAGGCATTGCACAGTATGGGCACACTTACATACATGCGGACAATATACTCATACACATAATAATAAGTAAAATATTTTCAAAAAGGTAAATAACTCCTGAAGAATGACACCAGAGGTTGTCCTCTGGTACTATATGCTTATACACATGTACTCATATGTATTTGCACACACAAAACCATGTATAAACATACAACACAATAAATAAATAATAAACAAACTAGTAATTCTTAGATTCACTCAACACACAAATCAAGAATTCTTACAGGTTCATTCTGAAGCACAATATAAAATCTCATCTGTAAACACAATGTTTCAAAGTGTGGTTCTTATACTGTTCACACTTTTAAACCAAGTACACATCTGCTTTCTTTCTGATGGTAGCAGCCATCACCACTTTTATTTCCTTTGCTTTCTCTGCATGAACTGGATAACTTATCCTAAGCACTCTGTCAGATGTATTAAATGCCTATTATATTATGCTCCAAATAACTAGCCAGACCATGGAACATCTAAGTTTTACTTGTTGATGTCTACTCCACCCCATCCCAGGGCGTTGGTCCTCTGGTCCTGTTTGGGCTGTTTCCTGGTTGCTGCAAGGCCATCCTTCAATCTTCTGTTTGGGCCCTACACTCATTTAGCTGAAACACAAGCGGTCTCCAACAAAGACTGCTTGTAAACCAACTTGTTTTGAACTTCCATGCCTGAAAATGGCTCTGCAGCCCTCAGACCTGTTTGGAAATAGAAGCACAGGCTAAAAGTCATATGCCTTTTGGATTGCTGAAGCCACCTCTAGTTTTACTGCTGAGAAATACCAAAGCCACTATGCCTACTGGTTCAATACAGCATGTACACTAGTCTCCAACTCCAAAAGGTCTGAGGTTCTTTGCTGTGCCCCTGAAGTCACCCTGTTGTGTTGTATGCTGTGGAGTAGGTCTGCGCATCTCCTTCACCGTGTTTGCCCTGCAGGTGCAGAGCTTCATTCTGTGCTACTGCTGCACTCAAGTGGCTCTGCTTTCCATTCCCCTGTCTCCTGGACTCCCAGTATCAGTCAAGTCTGTAATTTTCTGTTGTTGTTTTCTGGTTCTCTCTCTCGCTCTTTCCCTCTTTCCTTCCCTCTCTCTCTCCTCCTGACTCCCTCATTTTAGTTTTCCAAGAAACAGAAGAAAGATAGAAAACATTTTTAAAATGATTGGTTTGGAGTGCAGCAAAGATTAGATTATAAAATCTAATGTGGGAAAAAATTGAATTATCTTGATCATTCCTGAGTAGATTTCATGGCTTTTGTTTTTTTGTTTTGTTTTGTTTTGTTATTTTTCTCTTGTAGGTGGCGCTCGTGTTTCCAAATAGTGACCCTGTGATGTTCATGGTTGCATTTTATGGGTGTCTCCTGGCTGAACTGGTTCCTGTCCCCATTGAAGTACCATTAACAAGAAAGGTAATAAATGTGGGCCAGGCCTAGGACTTGGTGCCTTACCTAAGGCACCTAAGTTCTCTTTAGGTGTACTGGTGACTTGTTCATATCCTGTTCTCTGTGGAATGGTAGCTTAACACAAACAGGTGCTTGGAGGAAGACAGTAGCAGACAGGCCTACGAGCACCTTGGAGAGCAGTTAGGTGGAATGTGCCCATAGACCCCTTCTTGCTTTTTTGTAGCTGTGAGGTGGAGAACCAGATGCACTGTGGTATGGTAGAGCTATCATATTACCTGCTTGAATTTCCCAACAGAAATGATAGGTGTTTTGTCTTCCAGTGAACAGAATTTGTGATTCAACAAGGTTTTGTGGACTTTATGATTATTTATTTAATTATAATTTTGAATAAATAGGACAATAGTTCTTACATGTTTCTGTTCTCTTACATGGCAGGCATCTTTTTTTATTCATAAGTTATTAATGTGAGAGATTTTCTTGCTCTAGGTAACTATACCATTTTGAATATAAAATCAGTAGTCTGGTTGGAAAATACCATTTTCGTGGTAGACCTGGCATATATTTTAGAAAATCAGGGTTTTCTATCCTCTTGATTCTGTGGTCAGGAAGTTATCTAATTTTATTTATTTTTATTTTATTTATTTGAGACAGGATTTCCCTATAACTCCAGCTTACCTAGAACTCACTATGTAGATGATGTTGGCCTGGATCTCATAGAAATCACCTTTCTCTGCCTCCTGAGTGTTGGGATCACAGGCATGTACCACCACACCTGACTCAGACAGTTATTAACATGAGCACAGTGAACAAATGCTTAAGAATCTCAAAAGTAAAATTTGCAAATAAAACCAGTAGATCTCCAGGGGCAATATGTGATAGTTATGCATTTGAATAATTATTAGGGGGAAAAAAACAAGATTTACTAAGCTTATAAGAAAACGATGGAAATTTGCTGAAGGACATGCATAAAAGATATGAGTAAAGTGAGAGTTTCTATGTGGAAGTGAATAGTATGATCAGGACGGGCCCCCAGGCTTATTTGTAAATTTCAAACATGACTCAGTATAAATTTCAGTGCCTATTATGTTTAATGTTAAAATGTTTCCAAATTTCATTTCTAAGAAAAGAATTTGAGAAATTATCCCATTATCTAGATCTTTGATAAACCAAAAATATCTTCTAAATTTAAAAGCAATTGCCTTATTTCCATGAAAATATAATAACCTACCAGTAATGAGACTGAATTTGTTTAGTTTTATGACAGGTGAAAGAAAGCTCTATTCTGTCACAACCTGGAACTCTAGTGGTTGGGGCTGTGGCTTCTGCTCCCATAAGCACTCCACCTCTGCTGTTTTTGCTCTTTCACAGGATGCCGGCAGCCAGCAGGTTGGGTTTTTACTGGGCAGCTGTGGAGTGACCCTGGCCCTGACCACAGATGCTTGTCAGAAGGGTCTGCCTAAGGCACAGACAGGAGAGGTGGCAACTTTCAAAGGTGAGGCCTCCAGAGGCATAGGAAGTGTGTTCTGGCTACATCTATCATTTGTCTGTGTGCTGTAGGTATACTGTGTCAGAAACTAAGCATTATAGACTGATGGGTCTTTATCCAAAATTTAGAAGTGATACTTTAAGACCTTGGTGAATCTTGGCTTTTGTCTGACCCATGTAGTATCCTTTGGCCAGGTTTATCTACTTAAATAAAAGGAAATGAGACTAAAACTTGAATACTTCATCTCCCAGGGGCTGGTGACTACATGTTAGATACAGATTCCACATGTGTGGATCACAGTCTTCTGCCTGCCTTTCACCCAACATCCTGTTTGCTGTCATAGGTTGGCCCCCCCTCGCCTGGCTGGTGATTGATGGGAAACATCTGACCAAGCCTCCCAAAGATTGGTACCCTCTGGCCCAGGACACAGGACCTGGGACTGCCTACATTGAAGTAAGGATACCCTCATTTAGCACATAGATACATCTCTTACAGGCTTGGGTCTTGGGTTTCATAAAAAGATAGCTATTTATTTATTTATTTATTTATTTATTTATTTATTTATTTATTATTTATTACTTTTTAAAACTTCAGGTTAAGTTTCTTGTTTTATTTGTACCCCAGATGTAGAAGTGCCATATAGAACCTTCATCGGGTCATTTCAGGCTTTACCCTGACCGAATTCATCCCTAATTGTCCCTCCCGGGATACAAGCAGTTATGATACAGCTGTGTACACTGTTGTCTTCTGACACCACCCTAGGTCCCTTAAGAGTCAGGGTATGAAGGGCTTTGGATGGCCGATGAGGGACAGATGACTCTAGCTGCTGCTTTTTAAAATTCTGTCAGTCTCTGTCTGTCTACTGTGACTTTGGAAATTCCATGTCACTGTTTTTCTTCCTTGAAATTTTGCAGTATAAAACCAGCAAAGAAGGCAGTACCGTGGGGGTCACTGTATCCCATGCGTCCCTGCTGGCACAGTGTCAGGCTCTGACTCAGGCATGCGGGTACGTGGAAGGTAAGGTTTCCCATGCAGGATGGCAGCTTTTCCTGCCTGCATAGGTTTCTGATGTACTTGGTCTCACCCTGGAAGCTATTGCTGAGCGTGGCATATCTACCCTGAGTGATAACTTTGACCTTTAATGCAGCTGCACCAGATAGGGGGTGCAGCCATCTACTGGCATGCCTTGGGGGGTATCTCTGCTTGTGTGGGCCTGGAGGGGTGGGTATAAAATACCACTAGCAGAGCCTGGGCTGCCCCACTAAGGACAGTTTTGGTGAAGTTTTGTCTACACTGATTTTATAGAATATGAGACTTGTGGATCAGCCATTCATTTATGTACAGTGGGCTGATTCAATTGGTGATGTACTAAAGGGCAGAACATTTTGCATTATAAAAAGTGGAAAACAAGGTATGGAGAGATCGGTCAGTGGTTAAGAGCACTGGCTCCTCTTGCACAAAATCTGGGTTCAAATCCCAGCACCACATGGTGCCTAACAACCATTGGTAACTCCAGTTCCAGGAGATCTGACACCCTCTTCTGGCCTCTGCGGGCACTGCACAACATGCGTGCACTTACATGCAGGCATAATAGTCATACACATAAAATAAATTTTAAAAAAGTGGAAAACACTCTTCTTGGGGCATTTTTTTCTGTTACTGTTTTTGTTTTGTTTGAATATATTTGTGGCTTGAGCAATCATTCATGTAGGTTAAATATCTTTATGGTCTTAGGTTGTCTTTTGTTAAAGTAGAAGCAGCCCCTCATTTACTATTATTAGTATTTTAAGTTACTATTATTTTATATTGATAGATAATAATTATATTTCTGGAGAACAGTATGAAATACATTATTTTAAAAACTGTAAAAATAGACTCATGATAGTTTTCTTATAATGCAGTACTTTTTAATTAGATCTATAAAATCAAGTCTCATAGGTTCTTCAGATCCACTGTTATTCATTTAATGCATGTCACCTTTAATTTATCTCTTAAACTAACAGGGACACAGAGATTGTTTTTCACAGTGCAGCATCACCTCTGGCATTTCTGTTCAACTTTGATCTGTTTAAGTTGGGTATTTCTGGGTGGTTATGGTTGAAGCTAGGTCTGCTCATAGCCCCAGATGCTAGTCTTTCCTCTGTGTGAAATGTCAGCCAGAGGAATCTGTCAGGTTTTTGTTGTTGTTTTGTTTTGTTTTGTTTTAATCTTTGTGTGTGTGCATTAACATAAGTGTTTATGTGTGTGAGTACAAGTGTACGTGTGCTATTGTGTGCATGCAGAGATCAGAGGACAGCCCCAACTACAGTCATCACCTTCCACCTTGTTTGTTACAGGGTCTTCTCTTTTTAAAATTTTTAATTTTTATTTATTATTATTATTATTTGTGTGTGTGGGAGAGAGGGAGGGAGAGAGAGAGACAGAGAGAGAGAGACAGAGAGACAGAGAGACAGAGAGATTGAGGAGGAATTGAGGAGGAAGATGCATGCTGCTGCGCACATGTGGAGGTCAGAGGACAGCTATGTGGAATTCTCCACTTTGGTTCTTTCCTTCCACCTTTATGTTGATTCCAGTGATTGAACTCAGGTCATCAGGCTGTGTAGCAAGTGCCTTTACCTACTGAGCCATCTTTGCAGCTCAAGACAGGGTCTCTTGGTGTTAGCCACTGCATATGCCAGGTTAGCTGGCCCACAAACGTCTAAAGATTGTCCTGTCTCTGCCTCTTATCTTGCTGTAAGAACATTGAGATTACAGATGTGTGCATCCAGCTTTAGGTGGGTTCTTAGGATTCGAACTTGGGTTCTCATGCTTGCATGGCACTGTGTTAGTTCTTCAGCCCTTCATCGGGAGTTCTGAACAGAGAACTGCATGGCTCTATACATGGTATCAGCTGTGTGTTCTGAACTCAGGAGGGAGAGTGTCTTTCTGAGAGGTGACAGGAACCACTGCTCTTTACAAGGAAGATGCAAGACTATAGGCTGTGGGTGTGAGAACTGGGGAGAATCTGAGTAGGAAGGTGAAAAATAAGTGTCCATGACACTTCCTCGTCCTGTTGATTCTGAAGAGTGGTCACTCAAAATGGTGAAAACTTGTAGTGACCCATCTGTAGTCTGTATGTGGCATCGTGTGTGGCATGGTTTGGGACTGATGATCAGCATAGTTCTCTATTCCAGTCCAGAATTATGTGTTTCCAGTCATCTGGACAGCTGAGCTTAGTGTTAATTGGTGCATGGTATTTGAAAGTGCTATTTCTGTTTCCTAAAGCTCTGATATACTTGTCTACTCATCTCAGAATTTCTCTAGAAAGCGTGCAGAGCTTATGAAGAACTATTTATTGGTTTAATTTTTTTTTCTGCTTTCAGCGGAAACATTAACAAATGTGCTGGACTTCAAAAGGGATGCTGGTCTGTGGCATGGAGTCTTAACAGTGAGTATTGTTTGCCAATGACTAGTATTGAATCAAGAGATGATCAAACCTATGAAATATTGGCATGCTGGTCTGTTGGTTTTATTTTGCTTTTTTTTTTTGACATGGCTTAATCCTGCCTACCCTTGAGCTGGTCCATTTCTCTTTTCTAGAGTGTCATGAATAGGATGCATGTGGTCAACATTCCATATGCACTAATGAAGGTCAACCCACTCTCCTGGATCCAGAAAGTGTGTTCCTATAAAGGTAGCAGAAGACTGCCTTTATTTGTCTTACCTTTCTTTAAAGATTTCTCTCCAGCTAATCTTTAGTAATTAAGAAAAAATGAAGGCAACACATAGAACTTCGGGTATGAGCTGAAGAGGCTGTTTTAGGGCTGTCTCTGAAGGCTGACTTGGTCCTGACCCAAGGTAACCTGTACAAGACCTGGACAGCTACTTGAATGGAGTAACTGAGCTCTTTGCTGAAGGACCAGGGACTCCTGATTTTGTTCTTTTGAAACTTCCTTCACAATCACATCAGTATTTCTAATCTTAGTATTTGAGATGGTTTTCATTTGAGATTAGGACTTTTGAAGCTACCAATAGTAGAAAGGTTGTTGTTCAAATGATACAGCCTATGCAGACAAGTTGGGATAGACAAGAAAGGCCATCAGTGGGGTCTGGGCCCTGTTCTTCTCCCTATCACCAAATAGGAAACCCCTGCTCATTGGCACCTACACAGCTCCAGCATCTCTCTGTCCCTGCCCAGTGGAGCTCAGCGGCCCCTAAAGCTCCAACCTTCCTTGAACTGCCTGTGTTGCTGTACCTGGCTTGTGCTGGTGATGGTACATACTCTGTAGGTGTGTCTCCAGAACAGCATCTAATTACAACCTCTCTTGTATCCCATTTTGTGGAAGAAAACAAGGCCTGGTTGGAACGAATCAGCTTTATTTGGCACTGTACACTCACTGTACAATCAGCACACAGCCAGATTGAGGTTGACTCTGTCTACTTTTAAATCCCAGATTCATTTGATCTCATGACCTGGAGGCTGCTGGTGCCCTGCAGACCAAGTTATACAGTGGTGCTGGCAATGAGGCAGCACAAGACCAGGGTCAGCACCTTGGGGAGGGACAGCAAAAGCTTGAGGCAAAACAGGCTATATGTAAGGACTAAGATAGAGCTTCTGATTAAAAAAAAAAAAGGGAGCAAAAATGGATCTGAATGTATTATATCTAAATTGTATCTCAAAATTAAGTTTTAAGGAGAAAGGGGTTGGAGTAAGTTAGGCAGCCGTGAGAGAACTGCAAGGTCAAGAGTCTGATCCATACATTAGATCTTGTGGGGTGTGTGAACCTCTGCATAGAATGAAGTGTAGTGGTATGTTGGTGTGTGAGGGTGCTTTCCCTTGTGACACAAGGACTTTTGTATTCCTTTCTCTTTGTAGCCCGGGCTGCCTTGGTGAAGTCTCGTGATATGCACTGGTCTCTTCTGGCACAGCGAGGTCAGAGGGACGTCAGTCTTAGCTCTTTGCGCATGTTGATTGTAGCTGATGGTGCTAACCCATGTGAGTAGATTGTGTGATCTATGGTGGATTTGTGGTGTTTGCCCCCATGACCCTTGACTTTTCAGGTGTGGACTGAACAACCTGTTGAAACAGAATCTGTTGAAAAAAAGTTAAAGCTTCATTACTGACAATATTAAATGAAGCATAAATGTCCTACAATGTTCCATGATATGCAGTCTCTTGTTGGCTACTCATTGGTGGGTCTCTACATCTAGTATCATCAGTGTTTCTCAGTTACTTGGCAGGCTCTTATACTGGTCTAGAACCTGAAGCCAGGAGAGTTGTTTCCATTACTTGGTCCAGGAAAAGGTACAAGAGGGCAGGGCCTCAGTAACAACAGGATCAAAAACAGCTTCTGTGAGAAATTTCCAAACTTTTACTTGCTGGTGATTTGGAAATATATCATGTGTGTTTTATAGTAGCCACCCCTGCCATAAAAAGTGTTGCTTTGCTGAATTGTAACAGTGATCTTGTTAAAACAGGCTTATGTGCAGACAGGACTGGGTCAGCATAGCTGTTGGGCCAGTTTGATGCCTCATGAGCGGTAGCTCATGCTCCACTTCCATTGCTTTATGCAGGGTCAATATCTTCCTGTGATGCCTTCCTCAATGTCTTCCAGTCTAGAGGTCTGAGGCCAGAGGTCATCTGTCCTTGTGCCAGTTCTCCTGAAGCACTAACAGTAGCCATCCGCAGGTAATTAAATTGCCTTCTGCTTCATTCAAGTCTTCCATTTATGACTTAAGCTGCCTCTGCCCCCAAGTTTGTGATTTGTTTCTGACTGTTGGAAATCCTGAAGAAGGAAGAAAGCCATACTCACCACAACATTCCAGGTTTACTTGTGTAGCAGTGGTACAGGCTGCAGTTCCATACTCCTTACCAGTTTGGAGCCATGCTAAGAGTTTGGTAGCAGGTTCCTGGTGTACACTGCATTCTCTCAGAATCCCAGCATGTTATTTCCTTCATGCTTCTTCCCAAATTAATATCTTGCTGTCTCATGCATGGTCATATGTAAATGTGATAGCTGAAAAACAATTCCTTATTTTGAGAAAGGTCCTGCTGGCTGTGGGGGTCTGCTGAAGAGGACCTTTAACCTGCCAGGAGAGGTACCCAAACACTCCAGCTACTAAAGGCCCCAGTTGCTCTCATGGTGATTTCCTTTGTGTCACCTCTTGCAACTTGGAGTGTGTTGTGTATGTTGGAGGGAGAGGCTTTGAGGTTGCCCTGAGCCCTGTTCCCCAGGGGTTAGTGTCCTAGTACCTGGGCCTTTAGCTCCTTCCTGTGTTTCCCTCAAATACCATATTGCTCTAAAACAGCACCTGGCCCTCTGGGTTCACTTTTCTTCTCTTACTGTGAATCACCTATTTTTGCTACCCCTGCTCCCCTGCGGGGCTTCAGGTCACATGCTTATAGCTGAGGGCATCTCTTTTAGCTTTTTGCTCTCAACTCATTGCTGCAGAATCACCTCAGCTCTGGTCATGTATGCATTGAACTCATAATTTTCAAGTAGTATGTACTTATAAATATGTAGGTTTTAAGTAACTTCAATTTTAGTAACATTAAAAATGACACCTTTATCTTTTGCAAGCTGTCATCACTTGGGAAGAGCTCCACCGGGCCATATGCTATGAGGAGGTAATAGCTAATAGGCACCATGAGGCTGAGCCAGCTCTTCACATGTGTACAATATCATGGTCCATTGTAGCACACTGGCCTTTACTGGCCACTCTGTCAACCTGGCTACCTAGGACTCCATGTGAGGGTCCTAAGATAACTAGGTAGAAGCTGAGTCACCTCTAATGACCTGCCTTACAAATCACACAGTGTCACTTGCCCTGAAGTCATGGGCCTGCTTCTGATGGTAAGTGTTGAGGTCATATTACAGAGAGGCACATGATTTGGAGATATCTTGAGAGCTTTAGAAAACACTGTCCTAACAAGTCCATACACAGAGCAGATACTTTGGTGAGGAAGTGTAATGCAGGCAAAGTGGGTCCTCTGTACTGTCTCCCTTAGAGTGACAGCCCTTGTCAGTCAGCCTGCCGGTGCTCTTGTCTCTAGACCACCAGATCTGGGAGGACCTCCTCCAAGAAAAGCTGTCTTGTCAATGAATGGTCTGAGCTATGGTGTGATCAGAGTTGACACTGAGGAGAAGCTGTCAGTCCTCACTGTTCAGGACGTTGGCCAGGTGATGCCTGGAGGTAAGAAGCAACCAGAATGCATCTGCAATTAGCATTGATTGACAGAATACAAAAGGTACAAACTTTCCATGCACTCTAGATAGCTCTGAATGCATGCCAGGCACTGTCCTCCAGCCTCATGTCTGTCAGGCATTTAATACTCTGTAGTCACTATCGAACTATCTCTGAGAAAAAGTTGTTACTGTAAATCCCTGGGTGACAAGGTCATCTGAGTAGCAAGCACCTGTGATAACAAGAGATGTGGAAACTTTCCAGACATTCATATGAATTTCAAAAAAGCCCACGGGTGCCTTTTTGCAGAAGTTGGCCTGTGGGCTTTCTCACTGCTGGCCTGAGGTAGAGCAGTGAGAAAGGAGTGTTGGCATAGCCTTCTGGTTAACTCCCTGGCTAGTTTTTATACTTTCCAGGGCCACTTACCCAAGGAATGGTACTGTCCATAGTGTTCTGGGACCTCCAAATCAATTACTAATGAATAAAATTCCTCACAGACATGCCTATAGACCAATCTGATCTAAGAAAGTTCTCAATTGAGGCTTCTCTTCTCTGATGATCTAGGCTCTCAAGTTGACAATTAAGGTTAATCAGAACACTCTTTTGGTGACTTTCAGAGGTAGGGTACCATGTCTCATATCTAGTCACCCTTGACCCCAGTAATGCCCTGTTTCTGCCAGAGGTGCTGGTCCCTTGTCTGCCTGGCACTCTGACCTCAGGCTTCAGGTCTGTTCCACGGGCAACCTTGCTGACAGATGGGCTCCTGACCCAGAAGCTCCAGGTGGACTGGCCTGTATATAGGCAGAGCTCTGACTAGGACAAGCATAGAGATTTAAACTGTGGTTTCTAGCTCTCCCTTTTTATGCATGTGAATTATATTTATTTCTATAACTATACTCCTACATAGAAACATTAGTCTTATAGAATGCTTGAATGTGCAGTTGACATTTTTTCAAAAGCAGCAGAGAAGGCGTGGTGGCTGACACCAATAATCTCAGCACTTGGAAGGGTGAAGTAGAGAGATCCTGAGTTTGAGGCCAGCCTAGGCTGTATAGTGAGACCTTGTCTCAACAAAAAACAAAATAAAAATAGCAGAGAATACAGTAATAATTTTTACTTGTTATAACAAAGTACAAGCAAGTTAGAAATCTTAGGGGGAAATTGTGAGTGGTACTTATTTTGTATATACCTTCAGTGGGAGAGTACAGGTGTATGTGCATGTATGTGTGTGTGTGCACATGTGGAGGCCCAAGGACAACCTTTGGTGGTATTACTTAGGCATTTTAAACCTTATTTTTAGACAGGGTTTCATTAGCCAGGAGTTCTACAATTAGAACTCTAGACCGGCTGGCCAGTAAGTCTTACGGATCTGCCTGTCACTGCCTCCCTAACACTGGGATTACAAAAACATGCCACCGTGCTTGGCTTTTTAATATGGATTTGAAGATTGAACTCAAGTCGTCATGTTTATGTGGAAAACATTTTACTAATAGCCATCTATGTTCTCAGCCCTTGTTTTTTATTTTGAATACATATAATACATATAAAGACTGTTCAGTTATGCTCATCTGCTTTTGTTGCTGTAATACATATATACATCTGGCTTGTGTCTGTTCACAAATTCCCCAGGCATGTATCTGTACATATGTTCCCATGTGTGCACATGCTCTCCAGGTGTGTATTTGTGCATGTACTTCCTAGTCATTTGCTTTGTGATTTGGGTCCTTCCACAGCCTCTGACTGTCACCTGTTTGGCTGGGTTTACTGGCATAGTCAAACCCAGTGGTGTCTTATATTATTAGTACTTCTGTCATATTCTGTCCTGTTGGCCTCATGTATTCATCCTTGCCACAATATGAAGTAGATTTGTGGCAATTTGGTTTTTGTGACTTTCAACCCATCTCTGCCCATACCTGAGAGTGTCACTGTGGGGCTGATACCACCAGAATGGTGGAACACAGATAATCATCTCCCTCTATCTTGGCCAGATGCTTCTGGCCTCTTTTCCCTGTGCTTAGGAGAAATGAAAGATCCTATTGGCCAGGTCTTATTACATGAAAGATGTAGTATACTTTTTAATTACCTCACATTGCTCCATGCATGTGGGGTGCTGTCAGTGGACCCAGGACCTCTTAAATTCTAAGCAAGCACTCTATCACTGAGCCATAGCTTCAGCCCTCATGTTACTTATAACAAATGTTATATAAAATATAAAGATTTAATGAGTGTATCCATGCCATGAATCTCCTTATAAGAACTTGCTGCATATATATTATCTTGCTTCCATAACTTAAAAAATGACAGAAAGTAAATTTTTGTAAATAATCTATTTAAATATATACATTGATGATTTTGCATTGATTTCTCTATCTAGCTAGTGTGTGTGTTGTAAAAGTAGATGGTACCCCTTATCTTTGTAAAACTGATGAAATTGGAGAAATCTGTGTCAATTCCATTGCAACTGGGACAGCATATTATGGACTGCTTGGAATCACGAAGAATGTATTTGAGGTTTGTATCCTTTTCCTGATCTTGGAATTAAATCTTATGACCATTGATAGGCCCAAGAGTATAGGGCAGTGTGGGGGTCTGCAAGGTGTTACTCGGACCCAGAAGGGAGTCACATGCTCCACAGGCCTAGGTGGCTTTGGCCAGCAGGATTACTGGAATATTCACACAGAGAAGCAGTCAAGCTGAGAAAACAGGCTGTGGAGGGTCAGATGCCCTGAAAGTCTCTTTTCCACAGAACACCAAACCCTGGGGCATAGGCAATATGTGGCCGAGCTCTCTTCCCTGCCCACTATGTCTTTCTAGTAATCAGTGAGTTGTTTGTAGCCTGTTATCTTCTTCCCTGTTCTCGCAGACTGTGCCAGTGACTGCAGATGGAGCCCCTGTCTCTGACAGGCCTTTTACCAGGACAGGCCTTCTGGGTTTCATTGGACCAGTGAGTATGACCTCTTGTGCCCATACAGCAGCCAGAGAATATTGGGTGGTGATAAGGGACACTGCATTGCAAATGGGCTCTTGTCTCAGCTGCCTTTGATTTTTTTCTGTGGCCTTGGTCAATCATGCTTATCACCCTTGCCTATTCCTCACCTACATGCAGGGCTGTCTACTCACAGACCTGTGCTGGGCCCTAAGTGAGGTACAAAGGGGTAGGACTTTTCAGTTTTTATGTGGGTTACATGCTCATTCATTATACCTTTTTTTTTTTTTTTTTTTTTTTACTATTTTTGGTATTTAAAATTTTAAAATATTTTAAAATAAGTACTTTCTGTAGCATCTTGGCCCACTGGTTCTCAGTTGGATTATTTTACTTATCCTTCCCTGGAAACATTTGGTTGTCAGAGTGTTTTCTTAGTGGGTGTCTGGAGTCCAGAGGCTTAGCATCAATGGGCATAGGCTGGCCAGTGTCCGCAGCAGCACAGTTGACTCATGAGTCACATGATTCATCTGGAGGTCCTGCTCTTGGTACTGAGTCCCAGAGCCTTTCACATACTTAGCCACAACTTTATTCCCTCTGAGCCCTTTTTACACTGACACCCCTCCCACTCACTCCCAGTACCTCTCTTCACCTACACGATCTGTTCTATTTAATCTGGTATTGGACAATACACTTTTTTGACCCTGTGTGTGGTAATAGATTCTTTGTGCTATCAGCAATTCCTTGTGGGGTCTGACCATACTCTTTTCTCAGGATAACCTGGTCTTTGTCGTGGGCAAGCTGGATGGGCTGATGGTAGTGGGAGTCCGCAGACATAATGCAGATGATGTTGTGGCTACCGCCTTGGCCGTGGAACCCATGAAGTTTGTCTACAGAGGCAGGTGATGCACTGTAGACCCTACAACCTGGGTTTCAGATCTTTCCTGTAGTTAAATTTTGAAAGTCTATATGTTGCAACGGACCAGCCCAGACCGGGGCAGTTCAGTCCGATGGGAACAGGGTCGTCGAGAGGGTGGACAAGGAGTCAGCGAGTGACAAACAGACGCAAAGGAGCTTGATGAAAGTCTGAGTGTAATTTTTGCAGTTGCAAGGTTTGAGATATATACAGCAAAGATTACAAAAAACCGCAGAACAGTCATGCTAAGATTTACAGTTCCAGAGGTGAAAGTAAGACATAATTTTGCCAACATATCTATCTTATCAACCTGACACTAGACAGTAAATTCCTGTTTTACTGTGTTTTTTCACTGTCAGCCTTTCTCACACATTTAAGATTCTGCTCGGCTTTGTAGTCCCAAGTCAAGATGGCCTTGATTCATTAAGCACCTCATTAAGCACTTCCAGCACCAGCGGTGTCAGGTTGCTACTTTTTAACTATCTGATAACATTCCTTGCTTGTTTGTAGTGGGCCATAGGGCTTCTAAGTTATTTTAACTCTATAAGTCCCAAAAAGGCTATTTCATGCTAGGGATCCATGAAACCATACTTTTCTCTTATCCTATCAATTTTCAAATACTTTCTATATTTGCTCTTTAATGCTCTCTTATTGATTGTTTATCAAAAGACACCAAGGTGGTCTTGATCTTACCAATTTATCCATGAATTGTAATGAATAACAAGAAACCCTGTTTCTATCTATATTTATCCATCTATATTTTTCTTCTAGAAATCCATTGTTCCCTGGACTATCCAGCATTAATTCTGCTTAATTACTTCTCACTATATCTAAAATATCTTTCATTAAAATATCTTTCGATAATAGTGGTGCATCTGAACTACTATGATTAAAGGATTTCAATAAAGGCGGTGATAGCAGTGCCAAGGACACCAGGCACCTTCTGGGCCCCCAGAAAGCCCAGTGACAGTTAGAAAGATACAGTGACAGTTAGAAAATTAATAGCAAGTAAGAGCGTGCCAGGTACACTGCATGTTTCTTATCACAACCAATTCCAAGAGGCAACCTTCCTTGAAGTGCCAGCCTCAACCCATGGAGGATCTCACGCGGGCTTCATTGGAGATGGCGTGACAATATGTAGTAGAAGGAAAGCCAGTAAACCCAAATTTTCAAAATCTAAAAATTTCTGTATATCAGAGAAGTTGCACAAAGAAAAAATATAGCAGTGATAGCACAGTTAATATCCTTTGTCCAGAGTTCGTTCAGTGCCAAGTATGTAAATGGGCAAAAGGACAGGGGGACAACAGCTGTAGGTAAAAGGTGAGTAGACAACAGTGGGTCCAGTTTCCTTACTGCTTCAGAAATGCCAATTAGAAGAACAATGCCACTCTCTGAACTACCAAAGGCAGATTCTTTTTTTTATTAAGGTTTAGCGAGATAGCATATTTCATTGCTCCTGGAATAAAAATCTACCCAGCATTTTTTCATTTGGCAAGCAAAGACTTTAGAGATTGTCATTACTATTGCACAAACAACTAGACACTGGGCCTGTGACACACAGTGGACAAAGGGGCTTGGATGAAATTTTGCCTAGTTCTTACTCCCTGAGCTCTTTGTCCTAGGGGAAGCCCTTTTCTTTTTTGTTTGTCCAACTAGCTGTCTTTGAGAATTTTATACTTCTCAAGGGGATGCCTTTGTTTACTCAAATTAGGGTACCCTATGAGCTAGGCCAGACCCTGCCATTCAACATGTATTTAAGCAATAGGGAATCATGCCAAGTAGACAAAAGATAGCCATAGCCTGGGACACAAATACCTTACCAATATCCTGAACCTATGTTGGTATGTCTGTGTGTATGTAAGCGCACCTGTGTTATGAAGTGCCTGTAGAGGTCAGAAGAGAGTGTCAGATCCCCTGGAACTGGAGTTACAGATGGTTGTCAGACTAACAATTTAAACAAAACACAATAGCCGAGATAAATAGAAAAAATATGATGTTATGAATAATGTAAAAAAATCAGATTAACAGACTACTCCAGAAGAAAAAAAAGGAAAGTCGAAAGGAATATAAAAAGAGATAGGCGAGAAGAAAGGCACCCAGATGGCACTTGCAAGGAGGGTGTGCATGGAGCTGAAGGGCTGTGAGGAAGTGGGAGGCTGGCATACTATAGACTGGGGAGCCAGCTGTTCTTACTTGGTAAGCCATGAGGATGCCAAGCAGAGTGCAGCAGACTTCCCCACAGTAGAACTGATGTGAGATCACAGGCAATGGAGTTTTTAAGTTTAGACCTAGATTTTTATATTCATCTAAATTGTCACTTACTTGTGGAATTAATCTCATGCATATGAATTTCAGAAGTTTTATCTCAAAAAGTTCCATGTTGAAAACATTTTTGGACAAGGTACTAGAGAAATATTTAAGGAAGTATTACAAGAATTACAGGAAGACTGAGAAAAGCTTGCTAGGTAAAATAATGTGTTAATGGCTGGGCATGGTATTGCACACCTTTCATTCCAACACTTGGGAGGCAGAGGCAAGTAGATCTCTGAGATCGAGACCAGCCTGGTCTACATAGTGAGTTCCAAGCCAGTTGTAGCTACAGGGAGACCTTGTCTCAAAATGATAATAATAATAATAAAAAATAATAATTTGTTTATGGGATGTGTATGCTATATGTGCAGCATATGGGCATACTAGTGGGAGGAAAAAGTGATGACCCAGAGTTAGAATGGTAGATACAGTAGTTTGAGGGGCTTAGGGGAAACCAACCTTTTGACTTTGAAAGGAGAAGATTCAGCTATCCTTAATAGTTCAAAAGAAGAAAAAGGCAGTACACACACACACACACACACACACACACACACGCACGCACGCACGCACGCACGCATGCACTGAGCCAGTGAGATGGCTCAGTAGATAAAGGTACTTACTGCCAACCCTAACAACTTGAGTTTGATCCCTGGAACCTACCTGGTGGAAGGAGACAATGGGTTCCTGAAAGTTTTCCTCTGACCTCCACACATATTCTGCAGCACATGTGCACCCTCCCTCTACACAGAACACTAAATAAATAAACGTAGAAAAAAATTAAGAACAAAAGAGGACTTGTTGAAATTTGTGAAGTTAGTAGTAGAAGCAAGTCCAAATATTAGTTACAATTATACAAGGAACCTAGAGGATAAAGGGAAAGAAGGAGCTCAAGAGAGGTAGGACCATAGGAGAAGGGTATTAGTAAGGGAGAAAGGGAGGAAATGGGGGCACCTTAAGGGGGAAAACCATGATGGAGGGGTGAGACAGTGTGAGAGATAAACAATGCCTAGCTAGGTTTGAAAACCAGAGAGAACCATATTACTCCTATAACCTACTAACAATTTATACATAGCAGATCACTAAATATATGTCTAGGTAAGGTTTATCTGAGAACAACTGGTCTTTGCCCAAGATTTATCTACATGGCACACAGTAATTAAAAGTACCAGACTGGTGGAACTAACCTTCTTGGA